CCCCAAAACCCCAAAACCCCAAAACCCCAGTGGATGGAATTTATGAAATCAAGAACTTAAAGTTAAGATAAATTTGTGACTAAATATTTAGAGTCAAAATATTTTGCAATCAGGTCTGCATACCTTTTGCAATGGAATGTTATCTCTTTCAATTTCAAAATTACTATCCTTATTTAACATACTATGATTCCTAAATCTCTTTTTCATTCTGGACTGCTATTAAATAATTGAAGGAATGTTATTCTAATTGCTCCCATTAAGTTGCTAGTCAGCCATTATGACTTGCTAACTAGAGCCTCTATTTTGAGTTTAGTAGTTATTGGACAGTATAGATGTATCTTATGATAGTATGGTTATATTTCTGTTATTTAAGTTTCCTAGGTTATGATAAGAGTGCTGATTTTAATTTTAAGAAGTTGAGAAAAGAATATCATCTATTGAAGTAATTAGATCCATTCGCATTGATTAATCAGTAAAATCTTCTTCCATTTAGAAAGTATTTTTGCGAGATCTTTTTTATTCTGTTTTCATAGTTTACGTGCCAATTGAACTTGAATAGGTTTAAGTTTAAATTGCGATTTCATTAACAGTTTTAGGGTAGCAATATTGCTTGCTAGATATATAATTAACATCAAAGGCTTCATTAAAATCCTTCTAAGACTACATATGATTTGCCTGATAGGAACTCAAACCTTAGGAATCTTAGCTATATATACTTTTTCTAATTGATTATCTTGCTGAGATATTTACGTCTTCAAATTTATAGTTAAAATCATCTTGATTAAGTTCATTAAGCGGTGGAGTCCTCTATATTTCAGATAAATCTTACATACTAGATAATTCATCTTCGTATTATATCTTTAAAACATCGTAAATGTTGTTTTATGTTCTTTTGTGCAACATTGAATGTCTTTTTTATTATGGCTAATTATCTGAAAAGAGGGGTTATGAAAGATTTGACAAGAGAATTTAATTACTCTATTCTGGCTCATTACTTATCTGCACAGTACCTTTTTTGTTAGACTGCTAACTCAGCAATTCTACTTTTAGATCAAAGTCAAATTTTTTGTGTATAGACTCCCTACGATTTAACGCTGCAGGTAATTGCTGATCGATAACTTGGAACTAACCTTTTTTAACAGATGCTTAAGATTTGAAGTTGTTTTTTACCATATTTCTCTGTTACTTATATAGAATCTTCTATTAATTTACCAGTTAGTTTTTAATGCTAACCTTCTTGTCTTTTACTACTTGAAGGAATGATTCTCTTCTTGCTTTCTTTATTTATTTAAGCTAACTGATTTCATTCTAATATGACTAATGGTTAAAATCATTCTTTTCATCAGAGAATAATTCAGAGTGACTTCGACGTAGAGCTATATCACACTGCTCAAAATTTTGTTAAATTAGATCTTTGTCTTGATGGTTCTATGGAATTTTAAGTGCTGATTTTGTCCCCTCTAGTAGCCTATACTTACTGATTGTCTAACAAATTTTGTCTCTGATGTTCTTGATCTATGGGGTATTATTTGCTGACAAATATCCTTGTTTATCTATATTAGTCAGGTTTGGGTTATTTTCCTTTTATGAAGATTCATTACTGCTTTGATGTTCAAATTCGAAATTGCTACACATTTAATTAGACCCTATCTACAGGATTGCTTGATTAATATCTTCGAAATTCTTTGTCAGTTCTTCAATATAAATCTTTAAGCTTTTCTTTTCCAAACTAAGTCTGATTTTCTCATCATTCAAGAATGCTAAATTTGATTTAAGTTCCTTGATTTCAGAAAAACTCTTTTAAATTGTGTTAAGGTACTTAAACTTTTGAGTGTTGAGACTTTCATTTGAATTTTAAAGATTATCAATCAATAACTTATGGTCTTTAGCAGTTTTATTTAAATTTTCAACTTCCTTTTTTAATCTAATTATTTGATCCTCCAATTATTTGTTTTCTGATTAGTACTTCTCAGCAATATCCTGGTATCTCTGATTATGCTTCTTGATAATTTCTAGTTCTTTTGAATTTAATTTAAGCTGCTAATTATAGGATTTAATTTCTTCATCAAGCTTTTAATTTCTTAGAATCAATTCTTAATGCTAAGTTTAATTGACCGAACTTGATTGACTGCTTCTCTCTTCACCATTTTTGAAGAAAAATTCTCTTGTTCTTGATTGAATATGCATTGACATTCTTGGATTATTGATATTATTTTATTAAATAGTCGTCCTATCTAAAAGGAAGCTCTGTCTGTTCATTCTTTGGTAGTTTGAGAAATTTTGAGACATATTGTCTAATTCCTCCTCAGAAACAAAACTTTCTTGAAAATGAGTTTCAATTACATCATTTTGTAGCTTACATTCTTCATATTCAATTCTCAATTGCTCATACTTTTCGCTGATATTCTTGAAATCTTTGTACTGATTATTAAAGTCTAAAAGCCTCTCGATAAGCTACATTGATGAAAATAGGTTGCACACATTTTAACTTAGTTATGCTATGCTTTGATATTACTCAGCTAAACTTTCCAGTTAATCAGGAGTTTGGCTATTCAAAGTTATAGAGAGCATATCGAGGGAAGAAGAGAGTCTGATTTTATATTGATTTAGCTAGATGATATACTCTTCTTAGATTTCTTCTGAAAATTGGCTGCTTTACATTTTTAAATTTAGATTTAACAAGTATATTAATTTAACTTAAGAATTTTTCTGCTAGTAAATATGGTTATAAGCATTTAATATTCCCTTAAAGTAATTTAAGCTAAATATCTGGATGATGGGGTTTTGGGGTTTTGGGG